TCTGTGATAAACACATTTCCATTGACTTTCACATTCAGTAAACATCTTTAGTCATTTAAAGACCTTTTCTCCTTACAGGATGTAACTGCTCTAAACACTACCATTTACGTCTAATCTAACTTGAGCTTAGGCGTACTGCCCCTTTAATGTGTCAACACTGACATTAACCTTCTGTAATAATCACAGTCCACAGAAATGTAACTAGAAAATGCTCATGTTACATGTTCTAACCATAGATTTAGCAGAAAACAGACGTATCAATATTCAGTCATTTTGGCAAGGTGCGTTTTAACGTAGTGCATATTAATCAAACATCTTATCAAACAGACATCTGGAATATCTACAGTGAACAGGAGCCGTCACAACACTTTCCCACGCTGCTGGTTGTCGAGGTGGTGTCCAGCAAACGATGTGGGCTTTGTAGATCATTGGCAGACTTTCTGGGGAAGACCTGGTCTGATCCGGAGAGACGGCATCCATCCCACTTGGGAAGGAGCAGCTCTCATTTCTAGAAATCTGGCCAAGTTTATTAGTGGACCAAATCCATGATAACCCAGAGTTGAGACCAGGAGGCAGAGTCGCAGTTTAACACACTTCTCTGCCCTTCTAATTCAGCAGTTACCCACCCAAAACCCTACACAGAGTCGCAGTCTAACACACTTCTCTGCTCCTCCATTTCAGGAGTTACTTAGTGAAAATCCTATAGTGACGGTGTCTGCCCCCCGACCATCGAAATTATTTAAATCAAAGGTAAACAGAAGAGGAGCTGTTCATAAAAACCTCATAAAAATTAAAACCACAAGAGCAATAGTGCAAACGAATAGGAGAGTTAAATGTGGACTCTTAAACATCAAATCTCTCTCTTCTAAAGGTGTACTAGTAAATGAACTAATATCAGATTATGATATTGATTTATTTGGTCTTACTGAAACCTGGCTGGGTGATGGAGAATATGTTAGCCTAAATGAATCCACCCCTCCCAGTCATATTAATACTCACATTCCTCGAGGCACAGGCCGAGGAGGTGGAGTTGCAGCTATCTTCGACTCTAGCCTACTAATCAGCTCTAAACCTAAACTAAACTATAACTCATTTGAAAGTCTTGTTCTTGGTCTTTCGCACCCAAGTTGGAAATCACTGCAACCAATTCTTTTTGTTATAGTGTACCGAGCACCTGGCCCGTATTCTGAATTCTTATCTGAATTTGCTCAGTTTTTGTCAACTTTCGTACTTAAAGTTATTACTGTAGGGGATTTTAATATTCATGTGGATGTTGAGAATGACAGCTTCAATACTGCGTTTATCTCTCTGTTAGATTCCATTGGCTTCTCTCAGAGTGTTCATGAACCGACTCACTGTTTTAACCACACCCTCGACCTTGTTTTGGTGTATGGTATTGAAATTGAACATTTAGTGGTGTTCCCACAGAATCCCTCTTTGTCCGACCACTGTTTGATAACTTTTGAGTTTGTATTGCTGAACTACTCGCCATTGGGCAAAAATGTCTATACAAGATGTCTGTCTGATAGTGCTGTAGCTAAATTTAAGGATGCGATTCCATCAGTTCTAAATTCATTATCTAGTCACAAAGTAACGGAGGACTCCTATGCTAGTTTCAGTCCCTCCCAAATTGATCATCTTGTTGATAGTGCTGCAGGCTCGCTGCGAATGACACTCGACTCTGTAGCGCCTCTAAAAAAGAAAATACTAAAACAAAGACGGTTAGCTCCATGGTATAATACTGAAACTCGCAAATTAAAGCAAATATCGCGGAAACTTGAGAGGAATTGGCGTTCCACCAAAGTGGAAAATTCTCATTTAATTTGGCAAGATAGTCTTAAAACTTATAGGAAGGCCCTCCGTAATGCCAGAGCAGCGTACTACTCGTCATTAATAGAGGAAAACAGGAACAACCCCAGGTTTCTTTTCAGCACTGTAGCCAGGCTGACAGAGAGTCACAGCTCTATTGAGCCAAGTATTCCCATAGCTCTCAGTAGTTACGACTTCATGAGCTTCTTTAATGATAAAATTCTAGCTATTAGAGACAAAATTCACCAAGACCTGCCCTCAACTGGCACCGACTTATCTCTAAACTCAGGAACCTTAGAAACAGCGATAGAACCAGATACATGTTTAGACTGTTTTACTTCCCTCAATCTTTACCAACTAACTTCAATAATTTCTTCATCTAAACCATCCACCTGCCTCTTAGACCCCACCCCATTGTTTTAGCCAACTATAGACTAGACTAACTAACCTTCCATTTCTCTCTAAGGTTCTGGAGAAAGCAGTTGCTAAACAGCTGTGTGACTTTCTACAGAGCAATAGTTTATTTGAGGATTTTCAGTCAGGATTTAGAGCTCATCATAGCACAGAGACAGCACTGGTGAAAATTACTAACGACCTCCTTATTGCATCAGACAAAGGACTTGTCTCTGTACTGGTTTTATTAGATCTTAGTGCTGCATTTGATACCACTGACCATCAGATCCTATTGCAGAGACTGGAACATTTCATTGGCATTAAAGGAACCGCTCTGAGCTGGTTTAAGTCCTATTTATCAGATCGATTTCAGTTTGTACATGTTAACGATGAGTCCTTCATGCACGCCAAAGTTAGTCATGGAGTTCCTCAAGGATCTGTCCTCGGACCAATCCTCTTCACTTTATATATGCTTCCTTTAGGCAATATTATCAGGAAATATTCCATAAGCTTTCATTGTTATGCAGATGATACTCAGTTATATCTATCGATCAAACCAGATGAAACTCATCAGTTAGCTAAACTTCAAATGTGCCTTCAGGATGTTAAAACCTGGATGACCTGTAATTTTCTAATGTCAAACTCAGATAAAACTGAAGTTATTGTTCTGGAGTTTCCCTTGATGGCATCGCCCTGGCCTCCAGCACCACTGTGAGGAATCTTGGAGTTATCTTTGATCAGGACATGTCGTTTAAGTCTCACATTAAGCAAATTTCAAGGACCGCCTTTTTTCACCTACGTAATATTGCAAAAATTTTTAAATTGCATTGGCTTCCAGTAAAATCCAGAATAGAATTTAAAATCATTCTTCTACCCTACAAAGCTCTTAATGGTCAGGCACCATCTTATCTTAAAGAACTCATAGTACCTTACTACCCCACCAGAGCACTGCGCTCCCAGAATGCAGGGTTACTTGTGGTTCCTAGAGTCTCCAAAAGTAGACTAGGAGCCAGAGCGTTCAGCTATCAAGCTCCTCTCCTGTGGAACCAGGTTCCAGTTTGGGTTCAGGAGGCAGACACCATCTCCACATTTAAGAGTAGGCTTAAGACTTTCCTCTTTGATAAAGCTTATAGTTAGGGCTGGCTCAGGTGAGTCCTGAACCATCCCTTAGTTATGCTGCTATAGGCCTAGACTGCCGGGGGATTTCCCATGATGCACTGAGCTCCTCTCTCCTCTACTTTCTCTCCCTCTGTATGCAACCTCATCCCATTATTGCATGTTACTAACACAACTTCTCCCCTTTCTGGTAGTCTTGTGCTTTCTCGTCTCTCTCCTCTCTCCTATCACTTCCTGCAGGTGTTTCTGGCTCTGGAGCTGTGGAGTCTGGATCTGTGGCTGCGGGTCACCTGCTGCCCCCGTGTTCCTGCTCGACACCCTCTGCTGCAACGACTATTGTTACTGGTCCTATTATTATTATAATCAGTAACATTACAATTGTTATCATTAACACTACTATAAATATCTGTACCATTTTTCATTTTAGTCAATAGCAACATCACCTTTACTGTCTGTACCTCTGTGTGTATATTGTGTAGGCTGCCTCCCTCCCCTCTCTCTCTCCTCACCTCTCTCTCTCTCTCTCTCTCTCTCTCTCTCTCTCTCTTTCACCCCAACCGGTCGAGGCAGATGGTCGCCCACCCTGAGCCATGGTTCTGCTCGAGGTTTCTGCCTCTTAAAGGAAGTTTTTCCTTGCCTCTGTCGCCTAGTGCTGCTCTTGGTGGGAACTGTTGGGCTTCTGTAAATAACTTCATAGAGTACGGTCTAGACCTGCTCTATTATGAAAAGCGCTGTGAGATAACTGTTGTTGTGATTTGGCACTATATAAATAAAATTGAATTGAATTGAATAAAACTTTAAATGTCCGGTATTCGCAGCGCCAACATGGCGTCATCGCGGGGAAACGTTGACAGGACAAACTGACTTCCTGTCTTCACACGTCAGAAATCATCGTACACACTCTAAACGCTTAACAAAGAATCACGTTAGTAAAGCCTGATGTTATAAAGTCAGTAGTTCTGGGTTATTTACAGTTTACCGACCTGTATGAAAGCAGGTGAAATGTGCTCACACTACCTCAGGTGTGCCACGTAACGGAATACAGCTACTGTTTTTGGATCCCGATTACGTAAAGCCGTCACCTGTAATCCGTTACTCCCCAACCCTGCTTACTGGCCACAACTTTGAGCAGCTGAGCTCAGCCGGGGGCTCGTCAGTATCTCCACACCTGATGTTGGAGTTGTGCTGAGTCCACCTTGAATCACTGAATTGTTGTTTCATGACATGTTTTTCTTTTGTGTCTGCTGTCTTTATCTCTATTTCATCTTCTATTATCTCTCCAGACTCTGTCAGGCTGCTGGACGGGACTAGTCTGTGCTCAGGCAGACTGGAGGTGAAGTCTAACCAGAGGTGGTCCTCAGTGTGTGAAGCTGACTTTGACCAGCAGGATGCAGAGGTGGTCTGTAGGGAGCTTGGCTGTGGGGCTCCTTCAGTCCTCCAGGGGGCGCTCTATGGAGAAGTGGAGGCTCCGATGTGGACCAAAGAGTTCCAGTGTGGAGGCCATGAGTCTGCTCTCCTGGACTGTAGAAGCTCAGGCTCAGCTAGAAACACCTGCTCACCTGGAAAAGCTGTTGGACTCACCTGCTCAGGTAGAAGAGGAGCTGCAGCTTTGATTTGCTTCATTTCTCTTCTGATGAAACTCACTTTAATGTTTTACTGATGACTCTCTGGTTTCTGTTCAGAGCCTGATGATGTCAGGTTGGTGGGAGGAGCCAGTCGCTGTGCAGGAACACTGGAGCTGAAACATCAGGGAGACTGGAGACCAGTGAGTTACTTTGTCTGGACCCTGGAGACAGCAGCTGGTGTCTGTAGAGAGCTGGACTGTGGCTTTGCTGTTTCTGTAGGAGAGAGAAAGGAGTCCTCAGACAGACCTGTGTGGTGGATCATCTCTGACTGTGTTCAGTCTGGATCTGCTCTGAGGGAGTGTGTATCATCATTTTCATCTCCCTTCATCGTGGATCTCACCTGCTCAGGTAAGCCCATCAGTGATATCATGTATGACAGTAATGTCTCCAGTGTGTCCTCTCCTCTGTCTCAGTGTCTCAGTGGTTTCCATTGGACTGAACTGTAAAGTTCTCCAGGACAGTGACGTCCTAAAGTGTAGAGAGGTGGGCTTGTTTCTGGAAGCTTCACCTGACAGGACACACCTGGAGGAACCTGTCTGTCTGTCTGTCTCTGTGTTTGGGGACGTCCCACCAGGTGGATCCAGTCCCTCCTTTTACAGTCTGTCATCGCTCTGCTCCATGTTTGTTACCCGTGTCAGACCTGTGACATCACTTCCTTCTTCAGGGGCCATTTTGTTGAACGGAGGGTGAATGTGACCTTTCATCATCTGTGTTTACAGACCTGCTGCTTCAGCCCAACATCTCTGCGTCCTCCTCCGTGGACGGGGTCTCCAAGGCCCAGCAGCAGGGCTTTCAGGTGTCCAGGGGCTCCAACTTCACCATCAGCTGCTCCATCCAGCCACAGTACCCAGGAGGCTCCTTCCAGCTCGCCTTCACCTCCTTCATCACATCACACAACTACACCCTGCCAGCTGTCAATCACTCTGCCCACTTCCTGTTTCCTGCCGCAGAGCCCGCCCACCAAGGAAGCTACAGCTGTGTTTATCACGTCCATGTTTTTTCTCATGACTTCACCTCTGAGAGCCGTCGGCTGTCTCTCACTGTCTCAGGTAAGCTGAAGCAGAGCAGCTGAAACGTCACACTGACTGTTTCCATGCAGCTTTGGAAAAGATGATCCGTCCAAACTGACTGAAAATGACACTGTGACTGCTGTCATGTACGGTGGCCCTGAGGGCGCAACTCACTGGAAACTGAGCTAACATAGATGTTTTTGATTGTGTCAGTGCCGTGCCCAGCGTGTTCGTAACTTTGTAATTTGCTAAGGAAACAGTTTCCATCGTCTTCTGTGCTTCATGCAGCGTTTGTGTATTTGGATGTTTTTCTCACTCACTCAGTATTTTTTTCTAAATGCTGTGCATGTGTTGTGATTGGTGAAGTCACTGAGTTGCGGCCCCCCATCCTCACAAACAGGAAGTAAGCAGTAAACTCTACATCAGAGTCCTCCACCATGTCCCCCCAGCTAGCACTAACTGAAGCCATCTGGTCTGTGGACTTGCAGAGTTATTAGCATGGAGCTACAGCACTCACAGGAGTCAGTAAACGACGCCTGAGCATGTTTAACTCCCACTCAGAGATGCAGAGGTCCTGCATCCTAGTGTGGTAGGGAAACGCCCACATGTCAGGCCACATACACAAGTCTCACCAGAGTCCAGTTTTATTTCTACAGGCCAGAATCAGATTCTTAACCCAGAGGGCTTTATAATCTGTCCAACAAAGGACCCCCTCTGTCCTTAGAGCCTCGATCCAGATAAACAAACTCCACAAAAGGAGAAGCATCAGGAGGATCAGCAGAGGAGAGACCCCCCTTTAGATCAGACAGGCAGGAAACAGATGTCGTCTTTACAGAGCAGACAGACGGACCAGGAGGACAACAACTATATGAACAAACTCAATGAAGATATCAAGTGCAAACATTTAAGATGATATGAAGTGGAAGGGGCGCCAGTTAGCTCAGCTGGTAGAGAGCATGTCGAGTCCTGAACACAGCAGCCCGGGATGAAGTCCAGCCTGTGGCCCTTTGCTGCATGTCATCCCCTCTCTCTCCCACTGTTTCAACTGTCCTATCAAAAAATATAGAGGAAGTGAAGTTTAAGAGATGAGTCTCTGTCAGACCAACCTGGGAACCATCGGCTGTCGACTGGAGCTGATTTCAATGCAGATAAATTAATAGAAAGCTAAATCCCTGTCAGACGATAGCCGATGGGTTCCCAGAATGCATTTGGGCCGATGCGTTCCGCCACTTTCCCTCTCCAAGCAGACCGTTTACCTGCATCCAACCAAAGCCCACTCAACTGTGATTGGTCGATCCTTCTGGGACTACAAACGGATTACAAGTGGAAACCAGAACCTGTCCGATATTAAAACCTTGGCCCTTGCCACCAGATTCTGCGCTCTGCCACCACAAAGCTCTTTACAGGTGGGCACTGCTCACATGAGGTTTCTACGCTGCAAACTAGTGGGCGGGGCCTCGTTAGGGGAACTCCGGCTTACGACTGATCATAGTATTTAAAAGGTGCTAATACAGGTGTCATTGCTGTGGATTAAGTAGGCCTACATAATCAGCCCTTCTCGAGGACCCCCTTTCAGCTGGAGGCTTTAGGCAGTTGAACTTCTTCTCTGGTTGCGACGGCTCTGCTTGTTTCTCCAGATTCTGCGTTCAGATATGTGTTGATAGAGATTCCTGACGGACTGAAGAGGTTTTGGGAGATTTCAGGTCTCTACAGTTTGTGTTTAATGGGAGCTGATGGACTCATGATGGTGTGTGATGTGATGTCTGTCCATGCGTTTGATCAGATCCAACAGGTCTTCTCATCAAAGTGGTCGTCCTGCCGCTGACTCTGCTGTTGGTGATCGCTGCCCTTTGTTTCTACCGTAAGGTACTGACACACGTCTGTTGTTTAGAGGCCTGAGATGAAGCACTCGCTCTGTGTTTACTGACCTGAAGAAGAGGAGGAGTGATGCACTAACTCACATGTGTGTGCTGTCATGTCTCTCCAGGCCAGCAGGGGGCAGATGCCGGGCAGGCAGGAGGACATCGAGCTGGATTATTATAACCCGGGTGTTTCTGCAGCTGAAGGAGGGCCGACTGAAGAGGAAGGAGCTCAGGGAGCAGAGTAGGACCTCCAAGGAGCTCATCTCAGCTGCCTCACAACCCACCATCAGCTCAGTCCAGGATTTTACTCTTTTCTAGTGATGGATAAGCCTCTGGTTCTGGTTCTTGGGGGGCCTTCACAGACACAGTTTGACTGCCTGACACATTTACAAGCCATATAGTAACATGATGTGCCTTTGCTTTCAGAGTGATAATGGTTAACTGCTGAGCTCAGATTACAAAAGTAGAACATTTGAAGAAAGATGTTTAATTTGATGTGGTGTTGTCACATAGAGAAGATGCTTGACTTTGGTGTGGGAGACCGGGGTTCGATTCCCACTGTGAGACATCCACCATTGTGTCCCTGAGCAAGACACTTAACCCCTCGTTGCTCTGACATGTATAGCAATTGTAAGTCGCTTTGGATAAAAGCGTCAGCTAAATGAATAAATGTAATTTGAAATACTGTCTTTATTTCTTTAATATGTCCTGTATCTCTGCATCTCTTGTGCCTGACCTTATCTTTGCCACTAGAAACCTTTGTCTGGGTACGGACAGACATGCTCAACAAACCTGTACGCAAAATGCTAAAAAGGACCTCAGTCCAGAGATGTTCTGACCCACATCTGCTGACGACTGCTCACAGTTTGTAGGACAAAACTCAAAATGGTGGAAACTCGATGCAGACGCCTGTGGGTGTGGCTTATATGGATGGATTCACCTGAACTTTGTCTGAGACGCGCCGACGCCGACCACATCCACCTTGGGACAGTGGAAAATAAATGAATGAATAAAAAAATTGAATGACTATTACTTTAAATGAGGTCTTTTCACAATAAAAGCACATAATAACATGAGGTTCAGTTTTCAACATCAACTTCATTTCTTCTGTTTCTGAAATGTCTGTGATTTAGAATTAAATACTTTTGTCCATTAAGATTCAGATTAACAGATTATAAATCTACTTTTCATGACGATAATAAAAAGTAAATGAAACTCCCCCACTGCAGGGGGGAGAAGTCTGAGACACAGGAAGTGGGCGGAGTTAGAGAAACAAGTTTTATATATTTGACTCAAATTTCATGTAAATTTGATCTCAAATATCTCAAAGACCTTTTCTGTTAATTGTTACTTTTAGCTTTTTCCTCACTTTTCTTCTAAAGTCGGAGATTTTTTATTAAATCCATTTTTTAATAATAAAAGTTTAATGTTTCTAACAGCTCAGAGTGAATATTAACAATCTCTCTGTGTCTTTTTAAAATCTTACAGCATCATATTTTTGTGCAATTTAATATTTTGGACCAGTTTGACTCAAATGTTTTTCATGTTTGTCTCTTTATTCACGTGACTTTTTGTTTGTCTGCAGAGAAACGCCGTTATTTTACTGATTCTTCCTGAGTTATTACGATCAAACACCTTTTGTAAAGTGTTAACACCTGCTCAAGATTATAAACTGTTTTATTTTGGAAGATAAAGTTAAAAAGCTTTAAGATCTAAATACAATATGTAAAGATTCAGTTTGTGTAGAATTACAGTACAAACCTTAAATTAAGTCCAACATTTAATATTTAAACTGCTGCACTGATTAACAGCAGAACAGTTTCTTCATGTTTGTCCTGAAATATAAACTTTTAGCTTCCTGTGAAATATCCTCAACTGAAAACACACTGAAGAAAAACAGAGTAAGTTGATACGTCTGAAAGATTCTCGCCGTTTCAATTAAAGTTCAGTTGGAAATAATCCAAATAAAGTACATGTTGATTCTAAAACAATTTGTAACCGTGCTACCCTCTAAACGTGAGCTAACACTGCGCTTGGTTCGGAAGGAGCTAAGTGATATAAACTGTACCCATAAAAGGAAGCATCAGGCCAGGTAAGTTGCAACCAGTAACTTTTACTCACATTACTTTGCAAGTAACAGTTGAAACACAATTACACAACATACATGAAAACTAAAAAATGGGCCCTTTAAAATAAATGAGTGTTTTTGTAGTCGTTAAAGTCTGTTTGTGATCACTTCCTGTATTAGTCAATCCACTGTCAATAGTTCTCTGTTAAAGTGCGTGTCACCAGTTCTGTGACAGTTTCCTTGTTTAAGAGGAAAGTTGGCACTTTTGGATGAAGTGTGTGTACCAGCTCAGGCGACTGATACTTTCCTACCACCAGGGGGAGTGTTCGATGAGTTGGTCTGCGTCTCTTCAAGATCACGCTGGGAGGCTCGCCGTCCATAGAAAAGGGATCTTCCAAGTAGTTCTCGCTCTGTGCAGAAGACCTGAGCTGTTTTTGCAAACAGGACTTTAAAACAGTGTTCTATATATCTAGATGTTGTACAACAATCACACTAAAGCATAACAACCACGTAACATTTAAGCATCGCATGCTGCATAATACTCAATGATCACATGTTCAGGCCTATTTATCACACTTCAGTTCAACAGTAACCAGCATATAACATGTTCAACCTTATTCAATAACAGCTGATACTAACTCAACAGAAATTACATCAAGCTACTCTTCTCCCTGTATTAGGAAACCTGTCGGCCGTACAGGCTCCACATAACTGTAGCTGCAATGCAATACTCTAATTAGAGTAGCCTTATCAGAAAACACAATGTTTTATCTACCCACAGCAGAATTTACACATTAAGGTTTAACATTTCCACACACAACATTCAAATAAAACCATAGTATTTTTTATAAGCTTCCCTTCAATAGCAATGCTGTGTAATTCACTCAGCTACTCCTTAAAACAAAGCAAGTGAACATAAATGCAGCTGCGCTTAGGTCACTTTAAATATCAGCTGACTATTTCAGGTGCTAATTAAAACTTTGTATCACTGTCAGAAATCAATTTCTACGGCGCCCGGCCGTGAACAGCCCTTAACTCTTGATACAATTACAGGCAAGTGTAGCGCTGCACACACAGTTAGCAACATTAGCATCCTGCAGTTCACTAGCTTCCCGAGACAAACAGAGGAGGAAAACTCCCGGTTGCTCCTCCTTATCCTTCTTCTGTGTCGGTTCTTTAGCTGTTCGGGTTACTGTGACCATGAGGTCATGACTTCACCTGTGAAACAGCTGGAGAAAGCAACACATTGTGCCGTTGTTGTTCTTTAGCTTCGGTCTTCTCCTGGCCCCTGGGGGCCCCGTATACTTCTGATAATGGACAAACAAGTCAAATCAAATCAAAACAAACCACAACAGGTGAGTGAATCTGTGCCAGAAGTGACAGATGAAGAACAATCCTCCTCCAAACTGCCAGTAATCAGCTGGATCCTTGGTGCATCTGGGGAAAAAGAAAAAGGACAAGAAGATTCACTGAAAACACCTTAAAAAGTAGGAGTTCACTTTTTACCGTTCCTTCATCAAACTTTATTTAAACTGTCTGGACCCACGTGAGCTTCACTTGCTAGTGCTAACTACCAAATAAAGCGGCAGGTGCTTTGGTTAACTTAGTTATTCCTCACAAATCCCTGAGCTGTGAGGAAACTAGCTGACAACATTAACACATATTAGCAACACAGCAGTGTTAGCTGCTGCTGCACTGAAATACATGCTGATAGCATTAGCGCACTGATCGCGGTTAGCATCAGGCTCCGGTTGTATCCAGAGAGGAAGTGCTAGCAGGACACTAGAAAGTGAAGCAGAAACACACACAGAGGTTTTTACCTTCTGCAGGTTCCAACATGTTGGCTGACAGTGTCGGTAACGACCAATGAAATGAGCTAAATGTTAAGATGGACAGCGGTCTGCCCTCTGGGGTTAGCTTGTGAGCTAACGGCTACATGTAAACAAACTACAGTATTTAGATGAAGTTTGTTAACACAAAGACACATATGTATTTATCAGCCTGTAGCATTATTTAATCCACTATGAACTGTTTTAAACACTCTAACTTAACTAACTACGTTTTACATGATGTTCTTACAGAAAATGTTTTCTTACCTGATATCAGCAACATTTCTGCAGGATATTATTATTATTATATAATAATAATAATCTTTATTTATTTTGGGCAGCTGTGGCTCAGGAGGTAGAGCGGGTTGGCTGTTAATCGGAAGGTCGGCGGTTCAATCCCTGGCTCCCCCTGGTTGCGTGTCGCCTTGGGCAAGATACTGAACCCCGAATTGCCCCTGGCGGCTGTTCCGCCAGTGTATGAATGAGTGTGAATGTTAGTTTCCGTTTGAGCACTTAGGCTCAGTGTATGAATGTGTGTGACTGGTGAATGCAGATGTAGTGTAAAAGCGCTTTGAGTCGAAAAGACTAGAAAGGCGCTATACAAGTACGGAGCATTTACATTTATTTGTAGAGCACTTTTCAAAAACAAAGTTACAAAGTGCTTTAACAAGTGTAAAGACAATTAAAGCGTTGGGCCCTCGCACTTGTAAGCGCGTCCGCGTGTGAGCCGGCCGAGTTGCATATTCTGGAGCTCTGCCGGTGCTGCTGTGCCTTCTAAAGGCATTGAAAATGAAAAGTTGTGGTATCTGTGAGTTTTCGTCAATGGGCGTGTCCGTGGCGTGGCGTCAAAGATCAACTCTTCGCCATGACACAGGAAGTTGTTGTAACTTCAGTGTACATGCTCACATCTGAACCAAACTTTACGTGCTTGATAACTCAAGGGGTCATCTTCTCTGCTATTGGTGGACCAGTCAGACAGGAGAGCTCCTACTCTGCCTGCAGACATCAACGATCTTGCCCCTCACACAGTCAGATGGCTTCCTTCAGTGCACTGAGGTGTTTAACAACTCTGAAGACAATACTACCAGCAATGTCTTCCTTCTCTTTTCACGTAGACGCTCCGACAGACAGTGCTTTCAGTTTGCTGCATGCATGGACACAGAACTGCGGTATAGGGAGAAGCACACGGTCAGCTGGCTGCAGCTAAATCTGGAGTGCACTCGTATTCAATTCTGTATGGTAAATTCAGTTTTAACGGAGCAGAGCGAGCTGACAGGCAGAGTTAGAGACTTTTTCTGTCCGTTTCTCTCTTTACAAAGACGCATGTTGCAGTCAGAGTCTTCTCTGAGATGCGAGCACGACATACAACACAATTTATCAAATTACACAACGGATATACAGTATGAAAATAAGATTGATTGGATTATACTCACAGGAAGTATAAAACCTGTTACATGCGTAACACAGTAATGTCAGGGAAATTACTTTACTTAGATTTAAGTACTGCAGTTGTACATTTGAAATACCTTCCTACCTTTCTGATAGGAAGCCTTCTTGAGGTGGTATAAAACATTTCTTCTTATATTCTGATTTGAGTTGTGGACAACTATGACCACATGAATTAAAAAAGTTAAACATTTCACTGCCCAAGTCAGCTATAACACAAGTCTTGATCATCAGACTACATGCTGTACAGTATTTGTGGACAGATTTTGTCCCAGGATTTATTATGCATTTCTTCTTCTTTGTTGCATGATTTAGAATAATAAGGTGAGAAATGGGTCTGTTCTGAGTTCATCCTGCACTGCAGCAGCTAATAAAGTCCATTTAATCCCAAAAACGCTTTTCTTTTAGGCAGGCTGGAGCAGAAAACAACTCACCTTTCTCAAGTTGTACAGTAATGTCACATGTGTATGAAGGTGGATCAAACAAGCTAATCTTAAATGTCAAAGTAGAGAGGAGCCTAGTAGGCCTATTTATTTTCATTCATTACACAATATGAATAAGCTATGCAGACAGTTGTAAAGAAAGAACATCTTTTTCTTCTGTTCTCTACTTGTTATAGTTACACAGTATTAGGGGTGTGGGCTGTATTAAAAGTATCCACTGTTCTCCCATGCTCTAACACACAGTAACGATGAAATGTGTGCTGTTCTCACATTCTTCCTCTGTATGTACA